AAAATAAAAGTGCAGTCAAATAGAAAATAAATGCAGTAGATGCAAGCTGGGTTGAGGCAGGCTGTTAGTGATAATGTGCAAATGTGTGCCTTAGCAGTTCATCTGCAGATGGTCGCAGCTTGGCCTCAATAAAAATCCGCTTCAGGAAATCCCGAGCATGGTCCGAGACGTGAGGTGGCAGCTGTGGGTTTGTTGGCTGGGTGGCAATTTTAAATATGGCAGCCATTGCTTCAAACTCCGCCCACGGGGGTTTCTCAGTGAGCATTTCTACCACGGTACAACCTACGCTCCTGAAATAGAAGCAAATGTGAAACAGCAGGTTACAACAGGCTCCGACTGTCCTGCAGAAGTAAGAATTACCACGTGGCAGCTACTGAAGACCGCTGTCCACTTCCCGCTGCACTGCAATGCCAATGGAAACACACTGATTCCCCATTCTTGTACACAATGTCCGCACGCTGTATGGCAAGGTCACACAACACACAGAAGATCACAGCATATATTCTGCTCCACCTACCAACTAACCCAACAACCATCACCTCAGCAGGGGATGTTTACCTAGACAGCAGGCTGCCGTCTTACTTTCCAGTAAGGTTTAGAGCTGGAATTAAATCTGAATTTCAGGGGCAGTTTCAGAGTCTAGTGTCAGTGCCATCAGCAACTAGTTCACATTCAGAGTTTGGCTAGCTGGTAGGAACACTACGCAACCCAAGAACTCTACCTCTGAAGACCTGCTGTGCACCTTGGGGTGGGATCAAAAGAATTGTATTTAATGGTTCCTGGCCCAGAGAAGACTAGTTAGAACATATACATCTGATTGGTTTGTTTGAATTGAAAGTGTCCTTGCTGCTTTGTTTCTTTTAACAGTATATTATTTAACACTACGGCATTCAACATGCCAGTGTTTACTGCAATTTATTAAAAAGCTCTTCAATGCTGAACACTATATATGCAAAACACATTCCAGTAAGTACTCACCCTCCCCGCTTACCTAAGGGCAAAGGACTTCTGTGGCAGCCAGGTCATTATCAGAGATTGCAAGAAAGGGTAGACATTAAAAATCAACAGCTTAATTTTATGCAAAGGCTGATTTCTAAACTCTGTAGACAGCTTTCCTGTATATACAAGACAACTCTTCTTCATAAAACCCTGGAAGCTCAATCTTTGTTTTAAGTATCTGAATAACAATGCAAAATGTAGGAGTTTGATTCATTTTAAGAAACTGTATTTCACTGTGTATTCTGTATCCCAAGCATCCTAGGGAGGAATATGGTTTATATAAATCATTTCACACGTTAGCATTTTTGAGTACCAGCAAACAGAGAGAAATCTACTTGCTACTAGGTCAGTGTTATTTTTAAAAAAATAGTAAGGATCAAAATGCATCAAACTGCTCCGGATGCTGTAATTTCTTTTTTTTAAATAAATAAAAGTTTAGGTAAAAAAAAAAGTTTGGTGATCCTGCTATGCTGAGAAATAACTGGATAAACTACAACCGGTGATTCATGCTGTTAAACCAACAGTTTTAAGGAAATGAAGGAAGCAGCAAAAGATTTACACAAGTTGAGACTCTAAACCTTCTCAACATGACAGCAGTCACCATATGGTTTGGACTAGTTCTGCTGTGGTAATTGCCATTAATTGTTAAATCTCAATTTCTTTTTATGCCCCTTTAACTAATGCCCCTGCAGTATTTACAGATATCAGGTGGGCCTCCTGCTATCTGAGCTTGGCTCACTGAGATCTCTAAATCAATGAGCACAGTCACTAATATACCAAAAACAACCCATTCAATGTCAGCTTTTCCCAGTACATCCTTCGTTACCCGAACAAGTGTTTTCATATGCTACCAGAGAACCATAACTAGAGCACTCCAGCGTAAAATACTGAACACTAATTCAGCTTTTATCTGGGGCAGTATGCAAATACCTCTTGGTAGATGGGAACATACCAGATATCTGCTTTTCTGCCATATCCTTCTCCACTGATAACTTCAGGACTCATCCAGTATGGAGTCCCTGTGACCGACTTCATTCCCGTACCAGAGAGGCAGATAGTCTGAAGTCGTTTGCTGGCACCAAAATCTCCAAGCTTCACATTGCCTGCTGAATCTCGCAGAATATTTGCTCCTGAAAGGGGGGGAGGGGGAAGAAATTCAATCAATCATTATATTTATCTTATTAAAGGCTCCTGAACTCTATCGGAGTGCACGGCAGCAAAACATATCGGGTTGCACTAATTTATTATAAATCAGGACCCTGTGGAATTCATACTCACAGAATTTGCTCCCTCTGCCATAGCATTTTCTTCTGAAACCTTATAAATAAATATTTCATTTAGGAAAAGGTTTCTAGCCTTGGTTCCACAGGAAACCTCAGAAGTACAAGCCAAGCAGAGCTGTGTGTCACCAAGGTATGTCAGAAGACAGCCTGAAACTATGTCAGATATGTACGCTGCCATATTTAATCTCAGTTGCTGCTCTGTTGATGCCGTCATTCTAAAGATGTATAATCCTGTATATTCCCAAAATATGAGAGTGTTCATCACTTTGCTGTCAGCTGGGAGCCCGCTGCTTGGTTGTCTCCCTGAGTTGCTAAGAACCTACCTGCAGCTGATGCTAGACCAGCATATATGTAATAATACTGCTTCTCAACCTTTTCTACTCGTTTAGCCAGGAAATTCTTCTCCTCCCTCAATTTACAATACGGAAAAGGCAGGGAGCCACAACTCCCTAAGGTCTGCTTGCAACCCTTTCCTCTCTCCCCCATACCATGCGGCCTTCTTCCCCATGCTGAAAGTTTATGACATATTTGCCCTCAAAAAGAGTCAATCATGACAAACCAATGGCTGGTAAAGAAGTATTCAGCAAGGGCACAGCCACATTCATTTCACAAAAAATCCTTATATCTTCCCTAACTTCAAACATTTCAGACCTCTGCCAGGTGGAAACCTAACAAACTTCAGTGTGGGAGAAGAGCTGCCAATGCTTAATTCCACCACTAAATTTCTGGCACTGGGCTCTCTTTATTCAAGTTCACATATTTTATAGCTTCTACAGGTATAAAATACATTCTACAGGATGCCAGTTCTACTAGCATCATCTTCACTGGTGAATTAAATCTTGTATTCAGAAGGCTTGCAGTACAAGAGATAAATTTTTTGTCTCAAGAACACTGTCTTTTCCTACCATAACTGGTCAACCATCAATCCAAACAGTTACGCCAATCAAGCCTGTCACCAAGAACTAATTGTTCAAATGGATGGGATTTTTTTCCTTTTATTTGTCCCACAATAACTATCTAAAACACTGGGCATGGTCAGCATTCTCCCAGTTCTGACAAGCAATATATTATTGAGTGATAGCACATATGCTGGTGAAGATGTCAGTCCAAATCCACATACAAGATTCAGGTTTCTGGTATGAAAGATTCATATCAGAAAAAAAGGGGATCTTGGCTGTGACCATGCTGCTGCCCATCTTCACATAATTCAAAGAAAGTCTCCATCTAATTCTGACCTTTAATAAAACGTCTGAAAAGGCTGAATAACTTCTCTATTGATTTGGGTCCAGTCCTTGAATTATGAGTTTTAGAGGTGCTTTGTAGTCTAAGTGATCAATTGATCAAATTTGTCAATATATAAGAAGAGAAGGGCACAAGATGGAAAAATGAAGTAAATGGGTAAATAAAAAACTCAGAAAAATCTTGTTTTGATATCATACTTGAGCAGAATTGCAAGCTTCTACATTCAGCATATCTGCCTACAAAAACCATCTTGCATTGGCATGAATACACTAAATCTGAATCCTCAGAAATGTAAGAAAAACAGTAGCAACAAGAACTCAATGTAGCAATTTTAGGTACTAACGAGTGTCCATCATGCTTACAACAGGTTTCTAACTGCATACTGCTGTTCCATAAGAAAACATTTTCAGCATTGTTGATGTTACCTTTATACATACTGTGTGTGTATATCACTAGGCTCAACAAAGCTAGTTTGGGGGAAAATGTTGTTGCAGAAAATTCCTGAAGATAAAGCTTTCTTGATGTGAAAACTGAAGCTAAGCCAGTATTTTGACAGCACAAATCTAGCAGGCTCAGTTGCTTTTTCTTCGCATACAAAGTTTGAATGTATTTATTGTAATGAATGCAGAACTCAGACTTATTCATTACCTTTAATATCTCTATGTACAATCATGTTACTGTGCAAATAGTGAACTCCCTCCAGAATCTGTCGGGTGTATTTTCGGGTCACATTCTCTGTGAGCGCTCCGTATGCTTTTAACTGGTCCTTGATAGAACCCTACAGCCAAAGAGAGAAAACATTAAACACCACATTATTTTTAGCAACCTGAGTAATCTCTCTTTAAAGCTAGATTTCTATTTCAGATTTTGTACAGTCCAGTTTCATCCGACGTTTAAGAGGTGCAGTGTTCTGTCTGAACTTCTCTGCATCACCTTACTGTAGATCCAGTTACATCTCCATCAAAATGAGAAGATTAAGCCTTTAAAAGGATGCTAGAAGTGAGGGGGCTGGGGTGGCCTGGGCACTAAGCTGTACAGTGCACAGCCCAGAGGACCCACGTTCCAAGGCCATAGCAGAAATGTTCATGGCACAGCCTGTCAGATTCCAGTGAATCTGCTAATTCTGCTAAATACCTTGTCACAAGGACATGACAAAGGAAAGGAAGACTGCAAGAAACAAAACAACATACAGAACTGTTATCAGACTATGAATTTTATCAATACCAAAGTGCTTATTCCTCTAAATAAGATTTCTCTGGAGGGCTGATGGTTAAGCAATGATAATGGGAATGTCTTTCAGCAAGACATTTTCTGCCTCTACCCCAACTACTTTATAAGAGACAGTCAAAGACCACATTGGACGATGCAGAGGATGGATTTAAGCTAAAGCTATTTGAGGTCTAAAATTTAGCAGGATAAAGAAGCCTGGGATAAAATGCCCTCATGTTAATTGCCTGGGCAGTTCATTTGACATAATTGTAATAGTTTAAAAAAAACAGTATAAAGACAGAAAGAGACCAAATTAAGCTGCTTTTAAAATTAAATACTTCTGATACTGCCCCTCCAGAGCTCAAAATCCAGTAAGTCCTGAAAAAGAGGCTTATTTCTCACAAAAAATCCTAACTTTCTTCTCTGAAATCCTACAAAGTAGAAGGCTGCAATTCTAAGAAATATAAGATCAGAATGGATGAAGTATGTGCCCATCTTACTATAATTAGAGTTCTGCTTGTTCCATATTGAGAATAAAGTACAAATCTGCAGTTGTCAGAGAGGAAAAAATACTTCCGTAGGGAAGCAAGCAGTGAGGAGATCATAAGAGATGCTCCATCTGCCAAACAAAAAAGATAAGCTGCCACAAATGTTGGCCACCACCGCTTTAGAACAAAAGCACGCTGGTTGTGATTAGAAGTTTAAAAGGGTTGTTAAAATTATAGATGGCTTTAAAAAAGAGCTCACAAAGCTCTCTTTTCAAACACATCTGGTGCAAGAAATGCCCAGCCAGATGCAATCAATTATTAATCTACCTAAACTATTCTAATATACTATGAGTATACTAATATACTATTCTAATATAACTATTCTAAATGAATAAACAATTAACACAGTAGACAAGAGTCCGATGTTCCTCATCTAGCTGATCCTCTTTGGCTGTCCATTTATTTGACACTTCTTGAACACCTGAACAGAGGTGGTGAGCAGCCTTAGTCGGAAGTCATGGCGAAGGTAGAGCGATGTGGCAACTTGTAGAGACTACCTTCTGTTTTAACACCCGTGCATGTGATCCTGCAACACTCATCCACTGGAGGCCTTGCCACCTCACCATCACCATCCACAATGAGCTCTCTTGCTTACCCCTGGCATGTACTCCATGAATATGGAGAGGGTTCTTTCCGGGGGATCCCTCAAGCAGCCGTAATACTGAACAATTCTCTCATGGAGCAGGTTTTTCAGCAGCTGAATCTCACATTCAAGTGCATTTACTTCCTGAAAGGAAACGTAAGTAAACTAAGCACACTCAGGAGACACCTTGGCTAATAACAGTAATACGATTTTTCAGATTTCTGTCAACAAGGCCAGGATTTAAAGGACAAAATTTGGGGCAATCTAAAGTAACTGGAGAATTACTTTGGAGACCGCATAAAGTTTACACATTTTCCAGTCAGAAAACACGGGGCTGGAATGAACGAGAATAGTTCTGCAACAAGATCTGAGAAGTGCTCGACTGTAAAGTCTCCAGGAGTGCTCTGCAGTTATTTCCAGCTTCTCTCAACTCCAAGAGTCCTCACCCTCTTCATTTCACAGCTCGTTACATATAACATGTCTGACAATTTAGTTAAGCATGGCAGAATTCAAAAGCCATGCTGTAACACTGGATTACACACTTTCTTAATTTAGCTCCGTCTACAGGAATCTTTAATCCTAATTCTTATTTTATTCCAAGTAAGGACCACATTTGTAAATCTAAGTGCATCAATTCCCCGAGTACACAGTTTAATTGTTTTTCCTCCCCAATGCATGGGAAACAGGTAAAGATGCCTAAAAAAGCTGTTTCCTGTTTGTAAAGTTTTGCTGTATAAGATTTTTAAAACTGGCTCTAAAATGAAATCTTACAGGATTGCAGAGATCCCACATGGAAGGCCTTCATTAAAACTGGCTGTTTATCCATTGCAAATCACTTGTGGTACTCAAAAATTTCCAAAGTTAGAAAAAAACTTTTCTTGGTAAGGACTTGAATTTGTTTTAAAAAAAAAAGACATGGCAAGCCTGGCTGTCCACTGAACGATAACTACTGAAGGCACGGGGTCTATATTTGTCGTCTCCAGAGCAAACTCAGTATTTACATTTTTTAAATCACAATCACCCGACCACTGGTTCTTTCTTTGCTCCTATGCCACCAGAAAAGAGTCTACAAACTGGCTTCAGTCAGTTCTGCACACGATGCATGAAGAGCTGGTGTAGAATCCAGCTCATTCTCCTGCAGCAATAATGACTGCAATGCTAACGACTGAAAATACAATAATTCATTATTGTCTGTAACAAAACCAGCAGGCTCATCTTGAATGACAGTAGATCTAGAGCAGGGTTGGGCAATTATTTTAGGTGGAGGGCCGCATACTGCATTTTGGCAAGCCACATGACAGGCAGCTGGGGCAGATAAATATTGATTTTCCAAGTTTTTTCAGGGGCCCTGAGGGCCGGATAGAATGGCCTGGTGGGCCACATCCAGCCCACGGGCTGCATTTTGCCCATCCCTGATCTAGAGAGTCCCATTGGTGACACTTCTACATTATTTTTTTTCTGACTATTTAAAGGGCAAATTCAGATGAGACCAATCCAAGCCATGTTCAATAAAAGCAATAAAAATGCTCTTAGTGAAACAATTTGGGATCAGCTATATTAGGTCAATTGACATTGGACTTGACCCTAAGCATTTGTACTTAAATCATCTCCATTTAATGATGTTTTCTAGTAAAACTTCTTCTTGCTGGCTTTATTGTACAATGAATGAAAAGACATGTTAGTTCCTACATTTTTCATTCAACTACATCAATATTTCTGCAGGATGCATTTTCTTAAATATTAGATTATGATTTAGCTTTACAGACTCAGGTTATATTGAATTTGAGAATACTGTACATGTTATCTGCAGCAAGATACATGGGAAATGCAAATTGTGTGTGACAGCACAGCGTAATTATTGAACTGATATCTATCATTTTGACATGTAGACAGATTAAGTGTGCAACTATTTGAAAGGAGACAAAAAGAAAAGAAAAGCAACATCTGTTTAGATCACACAGAAAACCACTCTCACAATGTCGTTTACAAATACCTGTTTCAGGTCTCTTACCTTGCTGGTTTCTGGACTGTTAGGGTCAAACTGAACTTGTTTAACTGCCAATTCTCTTCCTGTATCAGCATCATAGCATAGATATACTTTGCCAAATGCACCTTGACCCAGAAGCTTGCCAAGTCTCCAGTTAGTTGGAGCTCGTGGTGCTGAAAATATAAGTATGTTTTGTTTTTCAAATGAGCCTGCTATTCAGATCAAGTAAAACTGGGATACACAGGAAATAACATTTTGGGGAAAAAAAGAGAATACTTTAAATCAGATGTCCATAAAAATGAGTTATAACAGTCTCCAAATCAAAAATTTAATCCAAACACTTTCTTAATAAAATCCATACTGCTCCCACAAAATATTTTTAAATATTAAATATAACATATGCCTAACGTACCAAGAGCTAATCTGAAAAGAAAATGCATTTGGTCATTGTGTTGTAAAAAAAAAAGTCTTATGATAATCTTGGACACCCAACTTTAACTTTGTCACCGTGTGGGCATGCACAGCATTCTTTAACAGATATTTTGAGAATCTAGTTATTTAACATACTCTCTACTCAGTTCTATACTCAGTCAGTCCTATCCTCTGCATTTCAAAACTGTTTTCTGTCAGAGGCAGCAATGTGTCTTTAACTTACAGCGGCTGGGTGGGCTGATGTCCATCACTGACAAGGTAGGATTGTCTATGTCACTTCCCCTTCTTCTCATTCGGTTATCTTCATACTCTGGAGTAAAGATGCTGCTTCCACTGCTTGTACTCAATGAGTGATCAGTAGGGCTGAAACTAACTGGAGACCGGAAGCTGTTTCCTTGGGTCCTCCTGGCCCTTGGAAAAGTTTTACGACCTGCAACAGTGCACAGAAGGCTATCTGTGATAGTGTATTATAAAGAACCAGTATTAAGCAATATATATGGATATATATTACATAAAGCAATCATTGCATAGTTTGATTTTTCCACAGAATGATATGACTGAATGATTACGTTGTTTGGTTAGCCTGCTGTGTGCAAGAGTGTATATGTGATGCCTCCACACAGTGATCAGACTTCAGCTTAATGGCTTGGTTTGAGACTCAAACAGCATTTCTCAAACAACAGACTAAAACTCCCACCCTGAACAAGGCACCAGGCCTTGCAATGGACCGACATCAATACAGACTATATCATCACTGGACTTAATAACAAGGAGTCCAATATTCAAGGTTCGTTCTCCTGCAACTCTACCAACATTGTATATGCCATCAAATGCTTACAATGCCCGTCTGCTATCTACATCAGAGATAGAGGGCATTTCTACATGTAAGAATGAATGAACGGCGATCTAATATCAGCTGCAGAAAGACACAAAAGCCTGTGGCAGAACACTTCAAACTTCCTGGAACACTCCATCACTGACTTGGGTTGCTGTTCACAGGCAACATAACCCCAAAACCCTTTAAAAACCTGTTTGACTGGGAAACTGTAGAACAAGAAGTCATCCACAAAATGGACTGTGTTAAGTATGGTTTAAACAGGGACTACAGATTCTTATTTTTTTACCTGGATTAGCTTTTGTGACCCTTTTGTTCCTATGGGTTCCTTGCTTGTATAAAACTCACAGCACTCCCCTGCCTCCTGCCTTCTTATCTATCGCATTCAAATCACTCACTCCACTTTATACTCTACTCTGAGCTGTCCCTTCACAGCATCTGATGAAGTGGACTTGGCTTCATGATAGCTTGTGCTTTATACATAATTTAGTTAGACCATAAAGGTGTGTATATCTACCCTGGCTAACAGAGCCAGTTGTTGGTCCAATACTGGTAGGGACTGGGAGCTGTATACAGCTAACATTTGCAATTCCTGAGGAGTGACTTTTGTAACTGAGACTCCTGTGCAGCTTGAAGAAATCTAGTTCCCTGCTCCCTCTGGAACGTGCCTCCCTTTCCACTACTATATTAGGTTGTAGTCATTCCTGAAAAGCAGGCCAAAGATACCCTGGAGTTCTACTGTTACATCTAGGTCGATGCCTTCACTCAGAGGGTGGCTAATATTTTTCAAAATGAAGGTGAAAGAAAACCTAAAATCAGGAGCAAGAGAAAGAGAAAGGAAAGCAGGGGGCCAGAGAAGGAGAGCAAATAACAGATGACAAAAAAGCTGAAATACTCGATTCTTTTCTTGCTTCAGTCTTCACAAAAAAAAGATTAATGACGAGATGCTTAACACAACTGATATTAACAAAGGGATAGGAGTGCAGGTCAGAATAGGAGAGGATGAAGTTAAAGAATATATTGGATATTCAGACAGACAAGGTTCTTCAGGTAAATCTGATACCTTTTATTAGACCAACTCAAATAGTTGCAAAAATTCTTCTTTGCAAGCTTTCAGGTATAAATATCCTTCTTCAAGCTGAGGAAGCACCAGCAGTTGGTGTGTGCTCTTCCTGGATGGAATGAATACAGGTTTCCCTCACCAACCATGGTTTTCAGTATCCATGGTTTATAATCTGCATACCATTTTGGCAACCACGGTACACAGTTTTGAGTAACCACGGTTTTCTGTGGCCGCACATCAGCCCGCCAACCCCCTGGTCTTGCTTGTGCCTCTCCTTCCTCGCCACCCCACAACCCCTGGTCCCCTTGCTGAAGGTGGCCCCCAGCCCTGCCGGAGGTGCACAAGGTGGCAGGGAGCTGCTCTACCTGCAGTGGCGGGGAATGGCAGGCCCACTCATTGCTGTACCCTGCTGCCCTGCTTCCCTTCCCCGCGACCCAGCACGGCAGGGAGCAGAGAAGCCATGTAGGGGATCTCCTTGCCTGCTGCTGCTCGCCCTGCGCTATCCCAGCGACGTGCCTCCTGTGTCTGCTCCTGGTTTCAGGGGTGCAGACCCACACCACTGTCCACAGTGCAGCCCCGTGTGCAGGAGGCACATCGCCAAGGCAGCGTGGGGTGAGCAGATCCCCACATGGCTTCTCTGCTCCCTGCCATGCCGGGTTGTGGGGGAGGATAGCAGGGCAGCAGGGAACAGCAGCCCTGGCCAGGCCAGGTCATGGGACAATCAAAGTCCAGCAGCTCATCCAGGGGTGCAGGGGGGTGGCTCCTGCTGGTGCCAGGCTCGGATTGGTCTCATGACCTGGCTTGGCCAGAGCCCCACGGGCTGCTGAGCAGCCAACTGCACACAGCCAGAGGCGAGCACAAAACACCCACACCCTGCCTTTCAGATGGTTGTGGGAGGGGAAGCACCGCAGTGTGCTGTGCGGGGCTACCCAGCACGTCCCCCCCCCACCCCTTCCTTTCCCCCTTGCCCGGGTAAGAGGCAAATGTGCTGGGAGAGATGCTGCCACTGCACCCAGTGCGTGCTTCATCCCCGTCTGCCAGCGCATACCCGCTATAACCTAAGTACCCCTAGGGCTACACCTCTTCCCAGTTGACCACCCTGTGTATTAAAGGTGTATAAAAATCATTTTTACTTACTATAGTGTACAGTATTCACGTCCCTAACCCCATTTTCTCCATAAGCCTTTAGTTTTGCCAACCATGGGAACTTTCCAGAACCTAACCTCCGTGGTTGGTGAGGAGAACCTGTAGTAAAGAGGCCAGGGGCTGGTATGCATGCAAGAAAGGCAGGCAGTGAAAATGTCAATTGAGGAGTCAGTGGGCGAGAGACAGGCTGGAGAGGGGAGAATGAATGTAGCTGATACATAGTGGAGAGGTACCTGGAGAGTCAGACATTAGGCAGGTTATAATGCGTCATAATTATATGTCCTTAGGCCAACACAGCTACAATCCATACCCCTGTAAATGTGGATAATTAGATGCATTCAAGACAGCCAGGTCTGAATGGCAGCACAGTCTGCAGAGATGAGCAGCCAGCAATGGTGAAAGAACAGGTTAGGGACTATTTAGAAAAGCTGGATGTGTACATGTCCATAGAGCCAGATGTGATGCACCCGAGGGTATGGAGGGAGTTGGCTGATGTGACAGCAGAGCTGCTGGCCATTATCTTTGAAAACTTGTGGCAATTGGGAGAAGTCCCAAACAACTGGAAAAGGGCAAATATAGGGCCCATCTTTAAGAAAGGGAAGAAGGAGGATCTGGAGCTACAGACCAGTCAGCCTCACTTCAGGCCCTAGAAAAATCATGAGGCAGGTCCTCAAGGAATCCATTTCTAAGCACTTGGAGGAGAAGGAGGTGATTAGGAACAGCCAGAATGGATTCACCAGGGCAGGTCATGCCTGACCAACCTGACTGCCTTCTATGATGAGGTGACTGGCTCTGTGGATGCAGAAAGAGCAGTGGACTTGACTTTAGCAAGGTACAGTCTCACACAACAAGCTAAGGAAGCTAAGGTTGGATGTATGGACTGTAAGGTGGATAGAAAACTGGCTGGATAGGCAGGCTCAGAGGGGAGTAATCAATGACCTGATGTCTAGTTTGCAGCAGTATCAAATGGAGTGCCCTGGGGGTCGGTCCTGGGGCTGGTTTTCTTCAGTATCCCCATCAGCGGCCTGGAAGATGGGATACAGTGCACCCTCAGCAAGTCTGCAGACAACACCAAGCTGCAGGGAGTAGTAGTTACATTGGAGGGTAGGGCTAAGATTCAGAGAGACTTAAACAAGTTGGAAGATTAGATCAAAAGAAATCACATGAGGTTCAACAAGGACAAGTGCAACATCCTGCACTTCGGATGGAAGAAACCCATGCACCAGTACAGGCTGGGGATGACTGGCTAAGTATCAGATATACTGAAAAGGATCTGGGAGCTACAGTGGACAACGAACTAAATATGGACCAACAGTGTGCCCTTGTTGCCAGGATGGCTAATGGATTAAGGGGAGTGATCCTTCCCCTCTATTCAGCATTGGGGAGGCCACATCTGGAGTCCCGTGTCCAGTTTTGGCCCCCCACTACAGAAAGGCTGTGGACACATTAGAAAGAGTCTAGCAGAGGGCAATGAAAAAGGTTAGGGGGCTGAAGCACATGACTTACGAGGAGAGGCAGAGGACACTGGGCTTATTTAGTCTGGAGAAGAAAAGACTGAGGGGGAGATTTAATATCAGCCTTCAAATACCTTCAGGGGGGTTGCAAAGAGCGTCTGTAGACTGCTGCAGATGACAGAACAAGGAGCAATGGTCACAAGTGGCAGCAAGGGAAGTTAGGATTAGATATTAGGAAAAACCTTCTCAGTAGGAGAGTAGTAAAGCACTGAAACAGGTTACCCAGAGAGGTGGTAGAGTCTCCATCCTTGGACGTGTTTAAGACCCGGCTAGACAAACTCTTGGCTGGGATGATCTAGTTGGGGATTGTCCCACTGAGTAAGGCTTTGGACAAGATGTGACCTCCTGAGGTCACTTCCAACACTAATTTTCTATGATTCTATGACTATAGTCACCCTACAGTGCTTATGGAACTAGATGAAGCAATGTCGGAACCAGTCATGATTGCCTTCATTAATTAATGAAGGACTGGGGAGTTTGGAGACGGGAAATATGGGAGCTCTCTTTTAAAAGGGAAAAAAGGACCCACGTTACACACCACACAGCTTAACTGTGATTACCAGAAAGATTCTAGAGCAAATTATTAAACAATGTATAAGCACTGAAAGGAAAATAATTATTATAACCCAACAACTCAGAAGCACAGCAGCGGAAAGGGATCTTGGAGTCATAGCTGACTCCAAGATGAATGCGAATCATCAATGTGATGAAGTGGTCAGTAAAGCTAACAGCACTTTATCAAGCATTAGCGGTTGCATGACAAATAGAACCAGGGAAGTGATTCTTCCCCTCTATGCGGCACCGGTCAGGCCGCAGCTGGAGTACTGCGTCCAGTTCTGGGTGCCCCAGTTCAAGAGGGATGTGGACAACCTCGAGACGGTTCGGAGGAGGGCCACTCGTATGGTTAGGTGCCTGCACGCACAGCCCTACAAAGGAGAGATTGAGGGTCCTGGATCTCTTGCAAGAAAAGGCTCAGGGGGGGATCTTGTGGCCACCTACACATTCATCGGGGGAAGGAGGGGGAGGGAGGGAAGGCAGCAAGGAATAGGAGATGCTCTGTTTACCAGGGCACTCCTTGGAATAACCAGGAACAACGGCCACAAACTGATGGAGAGCAGATTTAGGTCAGACATCAGGAAGAACTACTTTACGGTGAGGGTTGCCCAAATCTGGAATGGGCTTCCAAGAGAGGTGGTGCTCTCCCCTACCTTGGGGGTCTTTAAGAGGAGGCTGGACATGCACCTGGCTGCAGTCATCTAACCCCAGTGCTCTTTCCTGCCCAGGGCAGGGGGTCAGACTCAATGATCTACTACGAATACTTCTGACCCAAATATCTATGAACCCAGATTTGTCTAGAACAAGTCTTATCAAACTAGTATTTCCTTACTGACATTATAGTGGGCCCAGTGGATAAAGGAGTAACGGTAGATGTAACATACCTTTGCCTTAGTAGGATTTTTAGCACTCTCCCAAGTGACACTCTTAAACACTTGGGAAATACAGTCTAGATGAATTCACCATTAGGTGAACATGCAGAGTGATTGAGTAAAAGCTGCATTCAGTGATTATCTGTGGTATGTTGCTGTATTGGGAGCACTTAATCAAGTGAAGCCCTCCAGGAGTCTGTTTTGCATCTGGTTCTATTTTCTACTTACAGTAAAGACTTGGATGAGGGTCTAGAGCAGAAGAGTCCACCTAGCAGCCTGCAAGAAGTTAACCCACAACCCCCTGACTCCTGGTCCAGGCACTGCTCCTGCTACTGCTGCCAGGGTCTCTGGGCTCCCCCTCCAACTTCTGCTTCCTGGTCTAGGGACAGGCTTGTGAAATGGCAAAGCTGAGCCTGCAATGTCTGGAAAACCCATAGCATAGGAGCTTGGAGGGTCTGAAGCATCTGCCCCACGGTGTGGCACAGCAGAGGAAGGCCATGGCCTGGGGTGTGCACATGCCCCAGATGCTTGTAAGTTGGGCAGCCCTGGTCTTGAGACATTTACAATTTGCAGATATCACCAAGTTGCGTTGGGCTGGGTTGCAAACAGCTCTGCCAGACAGGATCTAAATTACTGGAAAAATGTTCTGACAAACAAGATAAAATTCAACCTGCAGACACACTATCTTTAGGAAGTCTAATGCACAAATACAAAATGGGAAATAAATGTCAAAGCAACTAGGATGCAGAAAAGGAACTGAAATTTATGTTACACTACAAAAAATTATGATTCAGCTTAATGCTGTTACAAAATCTCACTGTGGGAGGTATTAACATTTGTGCTATATAAAACAGAGGATGCTGTTATTCCACAGTACTTGGAGCAGATGAAGACTGAGGTGAAATACTGCAGCCAATTTTGGGCAGCACTCTTTAAGAAAGTTGTAGACAGATTGGAGAGTGCGTCTGGAGCAGAGTAAAAGCAATGGCAAGAATTTTAGAAGACATGGGATATGGGGAGAGGTTGGAAAAAAAAAAAAAAAAGGTTTGTTTAGCCTAAAAAAGAAAAGATTGGAAGGTGAGGGGGTCTTGATTAACTGTTTTCAAATCTGAGGAGGAAGCATTGGTGTCTTTGGGAGAGGGTTTGTGAGTGCCTGCTTCCTTTGGGCTCTGTGGTCTGGATGTGTTCTCTTGACATCTTGCAGTAGTGTCTGAGGGAGTGAGCTGCTAACAGCTGATGAAACTACAAGCTGTGAACATGTGTGAATAAAGGAGATGGGGCTATCCTAGAAAAAAAGGCAAAAATCCCATAAACATAAGATGCAAGTGGAGGGCAGGTGGTGGGGAGAAGGGATGGGGAGTGGAACTGGGGTGGTGGCTCATGCCCCTGCTTTCAAGTGTAGCCTTACAGTCCAAAACAACCCTGATAAATTGGTAAAACAGTCTGAGGTTATCTGGATGAAATCAGAATGTGCACTAAATACTGCATTTAGGGGGAAAATGATTTGTTTCCCAAATCAAGCACAAACAAAGATAAACTGGCCAGGCTTCAATATTGCAGAATGGTACCTAGGGGTTAACAATGGACCACAAGCTGCATATGAGCCAATGATGTACTGTTGCAGCAAAAAAGCCAACAGCATACTGCATTATATTAATCGGAGCGTTACAAGTCATGGGAACTGATTTTTCCACTTTATTTGGCACTGGTGGGGCCTCATCTGGAATACTGTGTCCAGTTTTGGACGATGGACTTGAAGAAACGTGAACAAACTGGAAATAGTCCAAAGAAGGGCAGCAAAAATCATCAGAGAACTAGAAAACTGGCTTACAAGGAAAGCTAGGAAGAATTAGGATTGGCCAGTCTGGAGAAGACAAAGACTAAGGTGAATTATATAACAGGTCTTCAAATGCAAAAAGGACTGTTAATAAAAGAGACAGGGACTGACTAGTCCATGTTCACCATGGAAAGGACAGGAAGTGATTTTCTTAACCGACATGAGGGAAATGCAAGTTGGATATCAAGAAGGACTTTCTAAATGTGAGGGTGATTAAGCACTGGAATAGATATCTTAGAGCAGGGGTTGGCAAACTTGCATCAATGGCAGGCTGAATTAACACAGTTCAGTCCTAAAGCAAGCCACAGCCACTGCTGACCTGGCCACCACTGCTTCCCTTGCTGTCCCTCTGATGTAGCTGCCAATTGCCCCAACTGGGGACTGCTGACCTGTGTTTTAGAGAGGCTTTGAACCTCCATTGTTGGAAGTTTCCTAGGGCAGGCTGGACAAACACTTGACTGGGATAGTTTAAACAGAAATGATCAGGCCTTGAATGGGGGATGGACTAAATGTGGACCTCCCAAAATCATGTGATTTCATTAAAGGGAATGGTGAACAATTGTTCACCATATCCAGTGACAGTAACCCATTTAAGTTGCAGCAAAGAAGGTTAGGTTAGGTGGAAAGAAAACTTATGTTACATTTGTAGCACTATGAACTCCCTTGTAGTGCTCTAGAAAGCAAGCATGTAGATTTGTAGGCAGTCTGTAGTGCAACAAAAAAAAAGAGAGGTGGATCTGCCACAAAAATGTTCCTTTCTCAAAGAGGAATTTTTTGGAAGTGGGGCATTTTGTAGCGCTACATGTAATGCTCATCTAGCTGCATGTAGTAGTACAGGGGACCAAGGGGCTAGGGGGAGCAGATGACTCTGACAACCTGCCACAGCAAGCTGTCAAAGAGCCCTGCCAGCACCCCACTGTCATGATGCAGCAGAGAGCTGGCGAGTGTTGTCACAGTACTGCTGGCGACAGGAATAGCTGCCACAGCCACCGCAAGATCAGTTGTTGCCAGTGGTCCAGTGACAGCAGCACTGCAGGAAAAGCTACCGTTGCTGCTGGTGCTCTCACAGCACCCATGCCAACAGGAAGTCACCTCCGCTCTTCCTCCCCACAGGGGCCATGGCAGCTCTTCCTCCTGCTGCAGCACCCATGGAACAGCTGGAAGAGCTCCTACACCTGTGGGACAGGTGGCGGTGAAACAAGCTGCCACCATCATAGGAATGCCAAAAAGAGCCACTGATTACTGACAGCCTGCTGGAGAGGACAGGCTGTCAGTGATCAGGCTCACTGGCTGGAGTGCTACGAAGCTGTGCTCTCCAGGCGGAGGGCAATGTTCTCCCCACCCCCAAAGAGTGCTGCCACACATCTGTGCATTGTCACTGCGCTCTATTTCTGTAACACTGCAAAGTGCTGAGGCACTTGATAGTGCCACAAAGGAACGTGCGTCCACAGCAGAGAGACACTACCAGAAACGGTTTAGGTATGCTTAATCCTGCCTCGTCACAGTACAAGAAAGGATTTGGGGACCTCAAGAGGTCATTTCTACCCCAATACTACTTGGAGTTCTGTGATACAGCATATTTAAGGAATTACATGCCCACTGAAGTTTCTTTCCAATTTGCATGAGATGAGGCTGACAGATCCCACGGCCATCTAGTTTGACTGGATGATATAGCTGCCCAAATCCTAATCCTGTTTTAGAACCCATACAACATTTGGGTAAGCCTTACATAAATCAGTTCCACAAAAGTGAATTATGCCTTGAATAAACAAGAATTTCCATTTAAATGTTATGCTTTTCAATGTCTTTGCTTATCTTTTTACCATTTTGTTATGAAAACCTATCAACATGAGCTCTGGTTTATTTATCCTAATATCTTTTAAATACAAATTGTGGACTTTAACTTTAAATACCCAGGTTAAGTATACTTCACACTTATATCAGAGGGAATATTCATGTTTGGTTCTCATTTCTTCTACATTACGTAGAAATGCAATTTTACAATATAAAGTAAGCTTTTAACCGCATTACTTTTGAAAAAAATGAAATATATTGAAAAGGCTGCAATGCCATGTACTTACCATCATTGTAGTCTTGATGATGATAAGAAATATGGTATCTTCGGGGATACGTCCCACCTTTTCCAAATTTCTCAAATATTGGGATGTCATACTCTACACAGGATTTAACAACAAAACAAAACACAATGCAGAGTTACACATGAGGGAAAATTATGAACACAAACACTATGTGCATTGTAACATGCTACTGCCTATTTCTAAGTAGGCACAAAGTTACAGAAAAAATAAAAAGTAAGCTTGCTTTAACAAGTGGAAGTGGGCACAATTGAGGGGAGCAACAGGCTACAGTTAGACCTAGATAGGTTACAAGGATGGGTGGAGGAGAACAGGATGGGGTTTAACACGGACAAGTGTAAGGTGATGCACCTGGGGAGGAACAATAGGCACCATACATACAGGCTGGGGAACTCCCCTCTTGTCAGCACGGAGGTGGAAAAGGATCTGGGAGTCATTATTGACTCCAAGATGAACATGAGTCGGCAATGTGGGGAGGCGGCTAGGAAGGCCAACTGCACCTTGTCGTGCATCCACAGATGCATCTCGAGCAGGTCCAAGGAGGTGATCCTCCCCCTCTATGCGGCACTGGTCAGGCCGCAGCTGGAGTACTGCGTCCAGTTCTGGGCGCCGCACTTTAAGAGGGATGTGGACAGCATCGAGAGGGTCCAGAGGAGGGCCACTCATATGATCAAGGGACAGCAGGGTAGGTCCTATGAGGAAAGGTTGCGGGACCTGAACCTGTTCAGCCTTCAAAAGAGAAGGCTGAGGGGGGATCTTGTGGCCTGTTATAAACTGGTTAGGGGGGATCAGCAGGCGCTGGGGGAGTCCCTGTTCCCCCAAGCGCCGCAAGGAGTGACCAGGAACAATGGTCACAAGCTGGCGGAGGGAAGGTTTAAGTTGGACATCAGGAGGCGCTACTTCACGGTCAGGGCGGCTAGGGTCTGGAACCAGCTTCCAAGTGAGGTGGTGCAGGCTCCCACCCTGGGGGTTTTTAAGAGGAGGTTGGATGACCACCTTGCTGGGGTCATTTGACCCCAGTGCTCTTCCTGCCATGGCAGGGGGTCGGACTAGATGATCTGCTCAGGTCCCTTCCGACCCTAGAAACTATGAAACATAAGGGGGGGGGCGGAAATCAATGCTAGAGTTTTATTTTTTCCTTCAATTAGCAATTTTTTTAACACACAGAAACCTATGACTTAAACAATTCCATTCCAACAGTTTGAAATATGGGACCTTTTTGGGATAAAACTTTTGGTTTTTGGTCCATGTGCCCTGCACAGAGAACAGAAGAACCACTGTGTTTTCTCTAAAATTCCCTCTGTAAAGGCACCCAAAATTTATGGTATGGCAACATTTCTGGTCTAGTTAACATTTCTTGAGTAAGAAGGGTTTGTCCCAGTGTCCTCTGAATTCAAGTGTTTGCTTGGCTTTCATCCAGCACTTCACAGATGACGTGATTGTTTGCAGAAGCAGGATGGGTCATACAGTCTGCTAAGACTACCCAGAACTTCCTATTATATAATCTCATTTTCAGTGACTTATAATTTTTGCAGAGTTTGAACCATTTGGGCAGATATTTACCACAAGGCTGTCTACATTAGGAATTTCCCCCCATAAAAGATTATGGCCACAAAAATTCCACAATTTTGGAGAACAAGTTTTGAGGAAAAGACTGTTCCAAAATTCTGGAGACCTTTTCTTTGAAATGCTCTAGCAATCCTAAACTTTGAAGATCTGAAATTTCATCAGTGGTGGCCTGTGTCCCAGGGACAAGCCTTTTATTATCCCATAAAAATCCATATCTATTATAAACTCTACACGTCTGGTAAAGCATGCTCTTTGTAGCTAAAATCTCTATAAATTCATTCCTACTGAGCATGCTCAAGCCTGTCACAGCTACTACTGCTCATCAGCCTGCACAGGCACCTTTCCTTCAACTCATGCGTGATCAGACCATGCACACAGTTCTCCAGAACAACCAAACAAGCTCCAGTGCCTAAGGGCTTTCCCTGCAATGGCTACTCCAGGCAGGGTACCATAACTGAACTCTCTGCCCCTGTGAGCACTGAGTCAGCATGGAGGAAGCAGCCAGCTAATTCAAAAGCAGAGGGGACAGAAACCAGATGGAATGCAGAAGGACACAACTAGATTGGAACAAGGAGGCTGAAAGAAATGGTACTGGAGATGGGGACAGAAACAGACTGGGAGGGGCATGAAGAGAGGGGAGATGGGGACTGACAGCCAAATGGCTGGATGGGGAAGCTCAACTAGCAGAGGTGCTTGAGCTAAATCTAGTGGCAGTGTGAGGCCATAAAATGCCATTTCTGTTTTCTTTTCAGATTGCTTTAAGGAAGTACACATAAAAACTATGCAGAAAAAAAGAACATAAAGGATAAAGACAAAATTTAGGGAAGACCATAATTTAAGTTTGCATCCTTAGATTATCTATTAGCATATGGTCTTTAATTACATGACCTTAGAGTGTTTTCTACAGGACTCTCATCCTGTTCAGTCCATAAAATGGTCCAGCTCTGGGGATAAATGAAGGCTGTATAGTAAAGAGGGTTCACATATGAAACTCCCTGGCCTCTTATTGCAGAAGCTGAAGAATATGTTGTAAGGCAGGGGATGACAGAAGGACTATGCGTCTAGGCCACACGGTTAACACAGCTGAATGCCGTCTTGGCCAACTGGATACTACTCCAGCTTCACCCACAGACTTCTGGCATGAGGCTACCCAAATCAAAAATAAAAACTGTTGTGTCTGATTAACAGAAGTTCTGTGCACACACAGCTATCAGCAAAGTCAATAAGAACAGTTCTTTAAAATACAAGTAGTACTAATAGTTGTATACTGAAAAAAAAAAAAAAAAAAA